CAGCTCCAATACAATGTAGGGCTTTAAAAGTAACGACTAGCAGCTTGAAGCGCGTCCGGAGTCCAACAGGCAGCCAGTGCAGCTCGCGGAGGATAGGTGTAATGTGGGTGTACCGAGGTGCACCCACAATCACTCGCGCAGCTGCATTCTAGATAAGCTGAAGTCTCTGAATGCTCTTCAAGGGCTGCCCCATGTAGAGCGCATTGCAGTAGTCCAGTCTTGAGGTCACAAGGGCGTGAGTGATACAAAGTATACATATGTCAGCACATGGTTGCACAAGACCTTTTCATACAGCAATGTGGGACAAATACATTGCAAGAAAACAACAACACCCCACCTCCCTATTTCTATGTGTATTCCCTTCCTGCTTAGATGGAATGGTAAAAAAGGGAAGGACTAGCAATATATGCCTCTAAAGGCCAGCAATTGCCCATGTGTGTACTGCTCTTTCTCTGCATAGATACTGCCTTTTCAAATAATGTTTCTCTATGTGGTGTGTGGTGGTGGTGTGTGTGTGTGAGAGAGAGGGGGGGGGGGGAGAATGCATGCACACCTTCATTCCAATTTTTAAATCTTTTAAATTTTAAAACATTTTAATGCACATATTAAAAAAAACAGCTTAAACTTGTTGTGTTTTGTTTACCAAATGCCCTCAATCTCCACTATAACTTGGAATAAATCCCTAAAATTAAGATTATTTCCCTCCTAGGGTTCTAAAACCAAATAATATGTAATATGTGCTGTGCTGCCAAGTCATTTCTTTGAGATAGATGGCCATATAAATTGTTTAGATGGATGAATGGATACATAGACAGATATTATACCTGAAACAAATGCCTGAATAGTAGAAGAGACTTATGGTCCACTCCTGCCTTGGACAATGCATGGCACTGGAGATATAATAAAGCATTCACCAACAGCTGCTCCTGGGTAAGGCACATTTTTTGTGCTTTCTCAGACTCTTCAGCAATGTATTTGAGAGATAACCTCTTCAAGCCATGAAGGACTTCCAGAGAGCTCACAGAACAGAGTGTATCTGCATGGGAAAGGTATGTGGGGAAAGTACTACCAATGGAAGGGAATGAAAGCAGAGAGGCAACAAGGCTTCCCAGTTTGGCTGGACTGACGAAACTGTCAAAGGTGGCCTTATGGACTTCAGAAGCTACCAGCCTCAGGCCATGCTGCATCTGCAAAATGGCAGCTTGCAGGGGAACAACCACATCGGGGAAGGCAGCATAGCTCTCTGCCAAATGTCTCCTGAACTGATGGTGTGACTGCTGCCAGGCTGCCTCTTCATTTAGCACGTTCTGCACCGCCTGAGACTTGTCTGCCCGGAGAAGCTTCAGAAGGCGAGTCAGGAGGTCCTGGACTTTGGAAACCTGGGCGATGCTGCCAACGTATTGATGGACTTCTTGATATAAGGACTCAAACAAAGGAGTCTGGGGTCGAAAGGCTTGCTTCTGGTCAAGTCTGGCAATCTGATCCTTCAGCTTTTGGATTCTTTGGTGTAACAACCTGTGAAAGGAGGAGATGCATAAAGATTTAAACCCTATTTCCAAATAATACTATTCAAGCTACTTGGATAAAATTAAGTGCTTAATCTCTGATTTCTACCCTGTTTTTCCGAAAATAAGACCTCCCCAGATAATAAGCCCAATCTGGCTTTTCAGCGCATGCGCTAAAATAAGCCCTCCCCGAAAATATTGCAACACAGCAGCAGCCATGAGATGACCACACTTGCCATCTCCTGCACCTCAACAATAGTAAGACCTCCCTGAAAAATAAGGCCAAAGAGTTAGGGGGTCAAAAGAAAATAAGACCCTGTCTTATTTTCAGGGAAACATGGTAATATTGACTGTTCTTTTTTAAATATGAAGAACACAGGCAATTTCTACAATTGTTCTAATTTAAAAAAAATGTTTTAAAAAAATCAATACATCAGATAGAAGATAATCATACTAAGTGGCTTTTTCTCACAAAAATATTCTTCTCTTTTATTCACCAGCCAAATGACAACTTAAAAATCCCAGCAATATAAAAACAAAAGGCCAAGCGGACTACTTCAGCCATTTACAATCATTCTCTTGAATCTAGAAATAAGGTGAACCCACAATGTTTCAGAGTTGCATCGGTCGTACTGAATCTCAACTGTACCTAATATGAGGATGGTCATGACTGTTGATGGGCTCGTCTTCAAGATCTTTCCCTGTATGTAACTGAGTGGACAGTCTGTGAGTTTTCCTTTCGCATTCCAGATGATGCAGCTGAAAGCAGTAGAGAAAAACCTGACTTGATTCAAATACTACTTTACTGTTGCTTTAATTAAAACAAAAACCATTACAATGTATCAAGAACGTACAGGTGAGATAGACATTTGCAAGTCAATTTAACAAGACTTTAAGACACACCAGATAATTAAAATTATATCTGAAAACATTATGCTTCTAAATATAGTATCTGATGATGATGATGAAGATGAAGAAGAGGAGCTACTGGCTTCAAATCCTGCTAGTTTGCATCAAATTGTACATCTATTCCCACATTTTATGAGTAAGATCAATATTTCAAGTTTTGTATATTTATGCACAATTTTATTCATCCTATATGGATAATTCTGCACTTGTAAATTATTCAAGTATTTTTTTTAAATTAGCATGTTCTTTATCCTTATTTCTGATAAGATTAATGTACTTTGCATATTATACGCTATGCTGCTTTTTTCTTCTTCTTATGATGGCAAATTCCTCCTCTTCCCTTAAATTCCATTTATTTATGTTATCTATTGCTACAGATTAGCCTCTTAAAATTTTGAAATATCGCTGTCATTTAATACATCCAAACTCGCTCAAGGCAAGAAAATGTGCATCAGCTCCAAGGACTCACCTCTTCTACTGCATATTTGAGTTTATATTTTCTTTTCACCGCAGGATCAAACATTGTCTGTGGAAGCCAAAGGTAGATTTGCAGAAGACCTAGATTTACCCAGAGGCTGCCTCGTTGAACTGTTTCAGGCAAGTTATGGAGCCCTATGTCCTGTCCACAGAACTGCTGAACACAAGTCAGCCACAGACAAAGGATCTGTTCGGGCATCATCTCCTGAGCACCAACATCCCTGAGTACTTTGCAAATATACTGAAGGGCCACCAAATCCTTTGAGAACACCTTATTACAGTTTCTGAGGTATTCCTCTTGCATCTCTACTGGAATCAAATTTTGAAGGGCCAGGAGTTGCTTGTGTAACATTACATACTGAAACCTTGAATCTGTATGCCTGAGATAAGGAAGACAGAGTTATGAAACAGTGAACAACAGGAGAGATCCAAGAGAGAAATCCAAGAGAAGAATCAACTTATCTCCTGCTAACAACAGAGGCAATGGGCACCATCAAAATGTTTATCCCCTAAGACATATCTAGAGAAGCTTCATTTTTAAGATTAATGATTGCTCTAAGGCAGGGGTGCTTAGATCTGGCCCGCGGAGCTGGCCTGGAAATATCAAAGGCAGTGCCTCTGCCAGCCAAAGTGGGCCGTGGGGGGCCTCACATGGCCAGTGTTCAGCTTCAAGGCGCTAGTCGTCACTTATAAAGCCCTTCATGGTATTGGACC